AAAGACTGGTATTCTGTGATTCATAGTGACCTCCCTTGTCTTCCCCAGAGATATTTACGTGTAGCTCATCCCTACTACCACTCTGCTTTTTGATTTTTAAAAGTTCTAATTTGGTTTTTCACTAATTGAACCCAGCCCTAACTAGGATGGACCTTTTCTCCAGATTGTCAAGATCCATGAAATCTATTTTTCTGGTCTAGGATGTCACTTACTTGAATCTCCAGTCCATCAAGCCTTGGAGCTTTAATTCATTAGTGTGTACGACTCACACCAATCACACAACCGGATTATGTGGGTCTGCCAAGCTGAAGTAAATTACCCGTTAGCCATTGTGCGAAAAACCTGAATGAAGGCATTGAGGGGTGCTAAAATATTCTGGAATGTTTTGTACTGGAGGATGGGGGAAGTCCCTACTTTTCACTACCAAGCATTCTTTTTTTCTTTTTAAAGATTTTATTTTTCCTTTTTCTCCCAAAGCTCTCCAGTACATAGTTGTGTATTCTTAGTTGTGGGTCCTCCCAGTTGTGGCATGCGGGATGCCACCTCGCGTGGCTTGATGAGTCGTGCCATGTCCGTGCCCAGGTTTTCAACCTGCAAAACCCTGGGCTGCTGAAGCAGAGCATGCAAACTTAACCACTCGGCCACGGGCTGGCCCCGCATTATTTTCTTAGAATGGAACAGATTCCATAGGGGTCCTGGAGCCAGTTCGCACATGCTCAATGTTAAATTTTCAGGAAAGTTGTTAAGTAGTTGATGCTGAGTTGGCAGCTTGAAATTGGCCACAGTGGGAGTATTCATACCACAGAAATTGGCAGATGCCACAAACTGGGGCTTTTTTCCCCCATCGAGCTAGTTTGTAGACACTGAGTAGTACATTATTGCAGAGCCCCTCAGGTTCACCCTTTTTTCTACCTAGTTACGGAACAAGAGGGCATGCAAAGACAGTGGCATGGTTACCAGGATGGGTTTTGGGCAGACATTCAGTTTCCTGCCTGTATTTTTCCCCCATCACATCCTCTGGCAAGAGTTCTGTGCTCAAACGGACCCCACATTGCTAATAGCAAATGAGGTTCACTATCACTTTTCGCCATAGGGTGGAATCCCAGCTCCATTGCTACTTGCTCTGTGACTAGGGCTGATCGATTATCCATGTCTGTAGGCCTGTGTGCTCATCACTATAGTGAGAATATTGCCAGCCTCATAGTTTGTGTGTATTTGTGTGTGTGTGTGGTGGGGGGAAGGTACCCATGAAATGCTTTGCTTAAGACCTGATGCATTGTAAACTTTCAATAAATCATAGCCCTAATTGGAATCATATTATTATTTACTAGATATTTACAGACACTCATGCTAGTTCCCGGACTTCACATCTCTGGTGATGGCCGAAGCCCTGGAACCAGCCTGGCTTGCACCATTTCTTCCACAAGGTGGCGCTCTCTCTCTGTGTGTGTGCTCCACATGGCTGGGAGCCCCAGCACAGGTGTGATTCCCTTGGCTCCCAGGTAGCATCAGCCACACACTTTCTCCCCTTAGTTCAGTGCCTGCCCCTCAGTGATACCGAGTGCATTGAGCCTGACAACCTTTTCAGCTAGAAAGAAGTGGGGGGAAAGAAATCTTTCTTGAAATATATTGATTTGGCCTGATGGCTTTTCATTGACATGTGAAAGGAATATTTCCCGTCTCTGTGCAAAATCTCCCTTTTATTCACTGCAAGGATGCTTTTAACAGGTAGGAAGCTGAAGTCTTTGGGGGTTTTCTGTTCTCTTTTGTCTGTCTTGGTTCCTTTTTCCTCATTCTCTAGAGTCCTCAAGGCAACAAGATAGAGTAAAATTAATACGGGGTCAGCAATCACACAGACCTAAATTTAACATGTGATTCTGCTACTTGTCAGCTGAATGACGTTGGGCTGCTCATTTGAATTTCTAACCTTCAGCTTCCTAATCCATGAAATGAGCCATCTATCTGTCTGTCCGTCTGTCTGTCTATCTATCTATCTTGGGTTGGTCCTGTACTTTGAAACCTGGTTACACGTCAGTTTCACCTTGGGAGGTTTTCAAAAAACAGTTGATTCTTGGCTCCACTCCAAAAGACTGATCCGCTTGGACTGGGTTGTAGCCCAAGCATCAGTCTGTTTTAGAAGCTCCCTGGGTAATTCTATGTACAGTGAGGTTTAAGAACTGCTGAGTCCCTCTTATTAAGCCTCTTTAAGACTCAGTTGGCTGACACGCTCATAACCTGGAAGTCTCTTTACTCAACAGCTCATATAAATATAAAATGAATCTCCTTTGCTAACAGCCACATTGTTAGTGCAATCCTCCACTCACTCAGATTAGCAGACAGTACAGTCCCATCACATCCACCCTTTGTCTCCAGGGGTCTTTCAGGATGCCCAAGAACCGCTATTGGTGCTCTGCAGGTGAGAACAACACCTGGGATCCTTGTCCCCCTGCTGATGCTGGGCAGTCCCTGTGGTCACAAGAAATGCCAGGCCTTGCAGTTGTTCCTCAGAACAGTGCACAATGGTCCTTCCTTTGGTCACCCTTGGTTGAGGATACTCTTCTCTCTAATTGGCCTGGATTGCTAGGGCCATGGCCCATCAGAGGCCAGCTCTTCCACTTCGCGTAAGTGCAACTATATTTCCTAAGCCACATCCCAGCACCCGGTGAGCAGTATCAGGAATTACAGCCTCATCTGCTCACTTTGCAGAACCAGCACTCTTCTCCAGCAGCCTATGCCTGGGTTGCCCAGTCCACATTTATTCCTCTTGGTAAATTTCCTCTTGGAGATTCTTTTTTGTCTTCCCAGCGTTTGGCCTTAGGTAGGTCCACCCTTGCCCATCAGATGTGTTCTAATAAATGTAATAAGTAGATAAATACTAACCCTTGTTCTCCCAGAAGCCTTCTTGGCCCACTGTATAGATCCATATATGTAAAAAGGTGCATGAGAGAGGATCCATCACCAATTTACTTAGCCTTTTCTAAAGCCAGTCTCTTTTCAAGTCTTATCTCCACTAAAAAAGCCCCTTTCCCATACCTATGTGCCCCTTTGTTCTTTCACTTCCCTTTTCTCCTCTGGTAACCACCAATCTGTTCTTAGCTATGTGTTTGCTTATTTGGTTATCTTCCACATGTGAGTAAAATCATACAATATTTATCTTTCTCTGTCAGACTTATTTCGTTTAGCGTAATACCCTCAAGTCCCATCCATGTTGTTGCAAATGGCACAATTTTGTCTTTTTTCTTTTATGGTTCAGTAGTATCCCATTGTGTGTATGTATATACACCACATCTTCTTTATCCATTCATCCACTGATGGGCCCTTGAGTTGTTCCACATCTTGGCTACTGTGAATAATGCTGTGATGAACACAGGGGTACATATATCTTTTTGAATTATTGATTTCATATTCTTTGGATGGAAACCCAGTAGTGGAATAGCTGGATCATGTGATATTTCTATTTTTAATTTTCTGATAAATATAAAAAGTAGACTATTGGTGATGAACACAATGCAGACTATACAAAAACTTGAAATATAATAATGTACAGCTGAAGTTTATACAGTGTTATAAACCAATGTGACCTTAATAAAATAATTTAAAAAAAAACCCCTCCCCCAAATTCTATGTTAAGAAAAAATTCCCTTTCCCAAAATCAATGGGTATGAATGTACTCACTTTGCATACGTGTAACTCAAAGGGATTACTGGGATGGTTATTTCCAGGGCACAGGGACAATTTGCCCTAAAGTTAAGTTCAAGTTTTTTACCATGAGCACAGAAACCATAAAAAACATCCAAGATGATAATTTATTAGCTTCCACAAATTTTAGGATTCAGTCTCCTCTGGGCAACTCATTTCATATAAATGAGCTTGATATGAATGGCAACCTCACAAGGTGGTTGAGCATAATAAGTGAGAAAAGATGTGGAAGGAGTAACTTGTAATGTCTTATTATTATCACTGTTACTAATTAGTTATTCTGATCAACATCTAATCAGAGTTGCCCCTTTGGACAGTGAAGACCCCATGGCCAAATATCTCCCTTCCTCTTCCTGTCCATACAGTAGTCAATGGAGTGGCCCTGATCCCTGACCAATACAACCCGGGGATCCCAGGTTCTCACTGTATCACCAATAAATCACATTAATTAGAGATGGGGCCTCTTCACTGAATTGCAGTGCTATGGGCCAGTGTCACTTGCTGTCTCTCTCTCCTGCTCTGGTTATAGAGCAGTTTAAGAGGACAACTCTTGGTCAAGTGGCCTTTGGGTTGGTTCTTAAGCTTTGGTTTTCCTCTGGATAGACCCAAAGGTCTTCAGGGGGTTAGGAGAACATTGGGGAAGGTCTGGCTTGAACCATGTTCTCCAATATAGTCAACTGAAAGCCCTAAATATTGGAGCTATTGAGTGCTTGCCTGGCCCTTTAGGAAAGGGCAGTACTGTGTCTCAATTCTCATGTGGTTTCTTGGGTCTGCTCTCACTTAGTTAGGAATCTGGAAGGGAGGAGGCTTGTAATTAGCACCCCTAAACCTACAACAGTTCTCCTGTTTGAAAGGCTAAGACACTGACGTTTTAAGAAGTGTGTGCATATCCCTCAAAGGGAAGGTCAGTTTTGGGGTCCTCTCTCAGTTGCCAACTATGGATGATGTAAGTTTGATTGCCTAAGGAGATTGACTTGTCTCTCTTATGGATGGCCATGAGATGTATTCAGGACGTGGTACTGACTGGGCTCAGAGGTTGACTGGATGAAGTAAGAACGGAGAGGGAGCCATTCAGGTTGACAGTTTCCTCTGGAGCAAGCATTGGCCAATAACAGCCAGCAGGTGAAATCTAGCCTGCTGCTAGTTTTTTGTTTTTAACTTTTTATGTTGAAATAATTTGAGACTCAGTTCCAACCCATTTTGTAAACAAAGTTTTGTTGGAACATTATCATGCTTATCTGTTTGCATATTATCCATGGCTGCTTTCTTGATATAATGACAGAATTGGGTAATTACAACAGACAACACATGACATGCAAAGCCTAAAATCTGTACTATCTGACTTTTTACAGAAAAAGTTTGCTGACTTTGTGCCAGAGTCAAAGATGCTTGTCAGTCAACGATGCTTCCCGAAACTGCCTTAAAATTCACATTCCTCCTTGCTGGGATCCAAAGGCCAAAAGAGCTCTGATGAATAGAGAAGTTCAGGATTGGAAGGAGGCGTTAGTGGGCATCCAGAGCAATTACTCATTTGAGGCCAGCATCTCCCAAGGGTACCTCCTCAAGAGATCCTCTGGTGGTGGAGGCACATCATTTCCTGAAGCAGCCAACTCACCTTCTTTGGGAAGTTCTGGCTGTTGGAAAATGACTTCTTACCCTGAGCTAAAATCTGGTGGGCAGAAAAAATTGTTCAAATTTTATTATTCATGGTCCCATTTCCAGCCTTTGGAGGAAGAAGACTCCATCACCAGCCAGGTGGGCCATGCTGCCTGCCTTGTGTGGAGCAGCGTGATGAGCGGGGAGGAGATCTGCACAAGTTGGAGCACTCTGCGTGGGAAAAGGTGCTGGATGCCCTAGAGAGAAAGATCCTGAGAAGGAATGCTGGAGGGGCATGGCTGGACAGGGATGCGGCGGGAGAGGAGCTGCAGGTGAGGAAGGAGACGGAGGTATGGAAGTTGTCTCACATTATTCTTCAATGTTTCCGGAGTAGGATTTAGATTTGTGGGTGTGTTTCTACATGCTTCAACCAGTTGAAGTGTCCTTCAAGGAAGAACGAAGGGCTCCAAATCGTCAGGTGCCTTTGAGTTGTGTCTGCTCCCCTGAGGTTCCCACGTGTTAGTCTTATAGTTTCAGTCCAAGGAGCTTTCAGACCAGTAGCACTCTAGCCATAGTGGTCAAAATCCCATCTTGCTGCCTTCCTTCCTGACCACAGGTTACCTCTTCTCTCACCTCAAAGCTTGCTCCAAACCAGGAGTGGAGAGAGAGAGAGGTGAAGGGAGACCATATGCCATCTCTTTGGCTGTGGTTGAAAGTTTCCCAGGTTGAAAGTTTGCACAGCACAGTGCAAAGATCTCCAGATGTATTCCAGAGTCCCTGGTTTCAAGATCTATTTCTGCAATAACTTCATGTACAACCTTTTGTCATCAATTCTCTTGTTTGTACCTTGGTATCCTCCCCTGTACAATAAGTGACTAGAGTCAGAACAGTGTTCAGATGCTGCTTGTGGAGCTTTGGATGTTCTCCAAGGGGCCTCTGGGAGCTTGGTGCAGGATGGTGGCAATACAGACGCTAAGCGGCTGGGTTTTCTGGCAGCCCTGCTCAACTTTCATCAGAGCAGCTCTGCACTGTCTACTAGATAGATTGGGGTTCCTTCAAATCCCCTGTTATCACTAAATTTCTACTGCTAAAGAAAAAAAGGCTCGAATCAAAAAATCTTTATCAGTGTTTCTGAATGTGCGGTGCATGTCCCACTGGAAGGATACAAACTGGTTTTATGTGATACGTGGAGGAACATTTTTTTAATTGAGATGTACTTGATATATAATATTGTACTAGTTTAAGGTGTAAAACATAGTGATTCAATATATGTATGTATTGTTAAATGGTTACTACAGTAAGTCTGGTTAACATCCATCATCACAGTTGTTTACATTTTTTTTCATGTGTGAGGACTTTTAAGATCTATTCTCTTAGCAACTTTCAAATATACAATACAGTACTATTAACTGTAGTCACCATGCTGTACATTACATCTCAAGGACTTATTTATTTTGTAACTAAAAGGTCGTACCTTTTGACCACCTTCACCCATTTTGCCTGCCCCTCCCCCTGCCCCACCTCTGGCAACCACCAATCTGCTCTTTGAGAGTTCAGGGTTTTTTGTTTTGTTTTGTTTTGGATTCCACGTATAAGTGAGGCCATATAGTATTTATTCTTCTCTGTCTGACTTATTTCACTCAGCATAATGCCCTCGAGGTCCATCCATGTTTTACAAATGGCAGGATTGCATTATTTTTTTTTATTAAGATTATGATAGATTACAACCTTGTGAGATTTCAGTTGTACATTATTGTTAGTCATGTTGTGGGTACACCACTTCATCCTTTGTGCCCTCCCCCCACCCCCTCTTTTCCCTGGTAACCACCGATCAGTTCTCCTTGTCTATATGTTAACTTCCACCTATAAGTGGAGTCATATAGAGTTCGTCTTTCTCTGTCTGGCTTATTTCGCTTAACATAATACCCTCAAGGTCCATCCATGTTGATGCGAATGGAACAATTTTGTCCTTTTTTATGGCTGAGTAGTATTCCATTGTGTATATATACCATATCTTCTTTATCCAATCACCAGTTTCTGGGCATTTAGGTTGGTTCCACGTCTTGGCTATTGTAAATAATGCTGCAATGAACATAGGGGTGCTTGGGACTCTTGGGATTGCTGATTTCAGGTTCTTAGGATAGATACCCAGTAGTGGGATGGCTGGGTCATAGGGTATTTCTATTTTTAACTTTTTGAGAAATCTCCGTACTGTTTTCCACAGTGGCTGCACTAGTTTGCATTCAGGATTTCATTATTTTTTATGATTGAATAATATTCCACTGTGTATATATATACCACATTTTCTTTATCCATTCATCCATCAATGGACACTTAGGTTGTTTCCCGTTCTTGGCCATTGTGAATAATGCTGCAATGACCATAGGGGTGCAGATATCTTTTTGAGTTAGTTTTTTCATTTCCTTTGGATAAATATCCAGAAGTAGAATGCTAGATCATATGGTAGTTCTATTTTCAATTTTTAAAAAAACCTTCTGTACTGTTTTCCATAGTGGCTGCACTAATTTGCATTCCCACTGAGAATGCACAAGGATTCCCTTTTCTCCACATTCTTGCCAACACTTGCTATTTCTTGCCTTTTTGATAATAGCCATTCTAACAGATGTAAGATGATATCTCATTGTGGTTTTGGATGAACATTTTCGATTTCCATAGTTACCATATTTATTTTAACATCTAATAGGGAAAAGTGTAACAGCACATCTAGTGTGTGGTTTCGTTGATATATTGCTTAAGGTGAGGCTCAACGTAGTCAAATAAGTGGGGTTATTTAAAGGAGGAGAATAATTAAATAATGGTACAAATGCTATAGGAATATGGCAAACATGATTGACATTTGGGAAAATGGGCAAAAAGGCCTCTGCAGGCCCTCCTGGCTCTGACATTCTAGCATTCTTTCCCCTCCTTGTCTTTTCTCCTGTTTCCTCTGCCTCCCCAGGAAAGGGGACATCACAATGTGTGTTTTCAGATTCAAAGCAGCAGCCCTGACATGCACTCGCTGGGTCCTCTCAGTCCTCCCAGCAGAGAGCTTGGTTTTGTTAGGGGGCAGCTCTGTTTTCCCACCTCTGGTCTCTGATGAGGTATATGAAGTCAGCAGGAAAGCAGACCAAAATGAAAGCAGGCAAAACAGGGCTCGGATATATACTTCATTTGGGATTAGCCAAGACACTCTCTGCTCCATTAGCAGAATACCTAATGTGTTCGTGTTTGAAAAAGCAAATCTGCAGAATTAGCAGCCAATAAATTGTTAGTCTTGCAGACTGTTGATTCTGTCTTGCTCCTTTTTAACCATCAGAACTCACTTATTTTTATTTACTTCTTGGCATGAAATTATTTCCTATATTTGCTTTTTTTTTTTTTTTTATAAAGACAGCTGTTTAAAGATTTTATTTTTTTCCTTTTTCTCCCCAAAGCCCCCTGGTACATAGTGGTATATTCTTTGTCGTGGGTCCTTCTAGTTGTGGCATGTGGGACGCCACCTCAGCGTGGTTTAGATGCACAGTGCCATGTCCGTGCCCAGGATTCGAAATGACGAAACACTGGGCCGCTTGCAGCAGAGCACGTGAACTTAACCACTCGGCCACGGGGCCAGCCCCTCCTATATTTGCTTTTTAACTCACTCCTAGTGGGATAATGCATGTCTAGTTTCCTTGCTCCAGATTCTGGGTGATTCACCCATAGTTGCTTATTTCCTAATGTTAGACATGCACTGGGTGTCCATAGCTGATGAAGCATGGCATGGCATGGGGGACAGGCCTTGGGCATTGGGGCAGATAGACCTGGATTTGAATCTGGTTTAGCCATCTATGAACTGTGGACTGATGTTCCTTACTTAAATAAGCTTGAGTCTCACTTTCTTTGATTGCTCAGCAAGAATTATGCTACTCTCACAGGATTTTTGTGAAGATTTAAGAGGTTACCATATAAAAAATAAAACCCTAGCCTGAGCATGTTGAGTTTTAGATGCTACATGAATATCAGTTCTTTTTTCATTTTCACAAGCTCAACAAGTCTTTGTACTAGATGCTATAGAGAAGGCGACGATGAATATGGCATAGGTCAGGGGGGCACTTAGGTTTTATTTCACACGCCAGCTCTCATGGAGTGTGCAGCTTCAGGGAGAACTGTGTGGAGCTGGATGTTAAGCGTCAGCAGGGAAGTTGATGAGCCATGTCCTCAGGCTTAGGAGGGGGCAGTGGGGCACACGAACATCCTACATTTGCCATCACTGACACAAGTCCAGCTTTGGGGAAGTCAAAGCTAATGGAGTGCGAAATTCCTGGAGAAGAAACGAATAGCTGTTGAGCATAAAACTGATGGGAGTGCTTTTACATATGTTATGTCTTGAATCTTCTTAACCAGTGGCACAGGAATGAACTCTTATTCTCATTTTGTAAATGATGAAATGGAAGCTCAGACAGGCTAAGAAATTTTCTCAAGGGCTTTTAAAGTAGGAAGTGGTGAAAATGAGATTTGAACCCAGATCTGCCTAGTCGCAGAGGCCTTTTGTTTGCAATTACTAACTCTTTTAATTGGGGTGTTTAAGTAGAGTCATTTTTTTTTTTAAAAAAGATTTTATTTTTTCCTTTTTCTCCCCAAAGCCCCCCGGTACATAGTTGTGTATTCTTCGTTGTGGGTCCTTCTAGTTGTGGCATGTGGGACGCTGCCTCAGCGTGGTTTGATGAGAAGTGTCATGTCCGCGCCCAGGATTCGAACCAACGAAACACTGGGCCGCCTGCAGCGGAGCGCGCGAACTTAACCACTCGGCCGCGGGGCCAGCCCCAATAGAGTCATTTTTTAAAAATTGAGGTAAAATGTTGCTACCTTAAGGTTTGCTAAAGTGCACTAATCTTAAATGTTCAGCTTGATGAACTTTTAATTATACAAGTAATTTAAATGCACTTGTATAACCATCAGTCAGACCAGGACACAGGACTTTATCACCTTTCTAGAAGGTTCCTTGTGTGTTTTCCCAGTCAATAACCTCTCTACCAAGACATTACTAGTATTCTGATACTTATCATCATTGATTAATTTTGACTCTTCCTCACTTAATATAAATGGAATTATACAGTAATTCCACTTTTGTGTCTTGTTTTTTGCTCAACTAAATAGCTGTGAGACTCATCCATGTTGTCGAATTAGTATTTTTTCTTTTTTTTTATTGCTGTGTAGTACTCTATTGTAGGAATACACCACAATTTATTTATTCATTCTTCTCTTGGGGGACATTTAGGTTGTTTGCAGTTTTTGGTTATTATGAATAAAGCTGTTACCAACGTTCTTGTAATGCCTTTGGGTGGATATATCCTTATTCTCTTGAGTATATTCCTGGTGGTGGAGTTACTGGGTCACAGGTTAGGTGAATATTTAACTTCAGTATGTATGAGCCTTTGGTTTTTTCCACTGAGGGCTCCACAGAGTCAGGGGCTCAAATCTTCTCGATCTCTGCAGTATACCCAGAATACACAACAGTTCTTGGCTGAAGTCAGTGCTAATGAGTCATTTTTGAGTAGATGAAAATATTTGCATATTGTGCATCTTGGTTCTTGGCTTTGTATTGAGGCGGTCATGTTTCAGTGAGCAGAGAAGTCAGAACCTCTCTCCCTGTTCCCAGAGCCCCCCATTTAAAACAAATATTTTAGGATGCCTCCTTAAGTATCTTGAAATGAAGTTCGTGGATAATACAACCCGTCTACAGATGTATTTTCTTTTTAATCAATACAGTGTTCTAACTATTCTACAAACAAAAAATAAAAAGGAAGTAATTTATAGCAAGGCAATGAGTGTTTCAATGTACGAATGCCTGGGGACTGCTACATTAGAAGAGATAATGAAAAACAGAGATACTTGCAACCATATACATGATCAGTATAGATGCAGAGTGAAGTGAGAGAAGTGTGACAATCTGCCGTCTCCTTCCATGAGTGGCATTGTTGTTGGTGATACGGTTTTCCAAATGGTGACCAACGCTGGGTAAAATTTCTAATAAAAGAAAGTACAATCTTCCCTTAATTGTTCTGGGAAATTCATTGTATATTAAAACTGCATAAGAATGCTTTCTTTTTCTATGTAAAATGAAGTGAGGGCTAGGTTCAGATAAGTTTTTCAACTACAGGAGTGTTCTGCGGGATATATGGGGCATGAAGCATATCCTTCTTTGGACAGGACTGTCCGAAGCATCACATAGAGTATTTACTCTTAGTCCTCAACCATGAAATGCCAGTCAATGCCCTCTTATTACAGTGCCAATCATCCCCACAAATTTCCAAAACATCCTTGGGGTGGTACCACTCCGATGAGAACCACAGTTCTAACTCAACTCCCTCATTTTATGACAGGAAGAACTTCCCCCTGAATCCTACAGGGATTTAGAGGTTAAGCATGGGCCACAGTCTCCTGGCTCTGGTCTAAATAAGGATTCTGTCCACCATGGCAGTGGGAGCTGGGGTTTCAAGTCAAGTAGACTTGGGTTCAAATCCTGGCTCTGAACTTAGGCAAATTGCTTCATCTTTCTGAGCCATCATTTGCAAAATTGAGATTAAGAATAGCATTTACCTTAAAGACTTGTTGTGAGGATTAAGGGAGATTATGACTATAAATTCCTGGCATGTAGTGAGATCTCAATAAATAATAGCTATTATTACACCCCTTTAAAGCTGCTTTATTTAAGTGCCAACAGAAATTGGTGTATCATTTTGCTGGGGGAATTTTCCATTTGAACTCTCTTTTGCAGAGAAGCACTAGTTTATCTTTATCCTTTGTTTCCAAAGCTTCAAACAGTTCCTTTCCAGGGGAAAGTGTCCTCTAACCCCTTCCCTACCAAAGCTGTTCTAGGCCACATTCAAGGACATGTCTTGGGATGAGTAGCTCAGAGCGCTCTGACACTAAGATGAAACCTTAGGGCTGCAATTTGGTTTGAAAAGAGGAAAGAGCGTTGATGACATTTTTCGAGCACTTCTTTTGCACTAGGTGCGTTGTGAATGGTCTATTTTTTAATTCTCTCAATGCCCTGTGTGATGGGTATTGTTTATTATTACCTCTATTTCAAAGACAAGAATGTGGAGACTCTGAGCTGTTAAGCCTTTCCTCGAGGTCACACAAAGCCGAGACTGAAAACAGGTCTGATAGACATTCTCTTGATTCGGGTTCTTCCAAAAGCAGACCCTGAGACAAGGATATGGGTACAAGTAGTTTATTTGGGAGGAGTATTTATTGTTATCAATGTATTGCCTCTCAGCTCTGAAGCACCCTTCAACATAAGTTCTGTGATAGAGGAACTCCTTTAAGTATTTCTCTTTTAATGTGAACGCAATATTTAGCTTTCTCAGTAGAGGGCGCTGGAGGGATATTTCAGGAGACAGAAAGCCTCCTGCCATTTTTGTGCCAGATGGGACTCAGTTATTGGTGTGAAGGCATTTAGCCTCGCCAACGGGCCAAAACATGGTCCTTGTGCAATTCTGCAGCCTCAGCAGTATGATAACTTTTGTCCAGCCCCCTCAACACGAAAACCAGAGCCTGCAGCAAAGCCCATTCTCTCCGAAGGACTCTTATTCTTGTCGGCTCCCAGACCTCACACCCAAGATCAGTTGCTGGTTGTTTGCTTTCTCACATGCACTCTGGAAGGTGGCCTCTTGGGTTTGCAGCACCTTCGGACCAGCTCCAGCCTGGCCAAAGCAGCAGACTTCTCTGCTATTCGGTGGGAGGGACCATATCTTCTTCAAAGATGTCTGAATCCCCCCCAAGTTTGTCCTTCTGTGGGCGCTCACCCTAAGACATAGGGTGCCCTATAGAGTTTCCTTACATCTTACAGTTACTCTTTATCCTAATGATTCTTTGCATTAAACTTCCTCTGTTAGGTTATTGTGTGGTTCCTGTTTTTGGATTGGACCCAGACTATCATAGCAGATGATTCTAGGTAGAAGGCAAGAGAGCAGAGAAGGGGAAAAAGCCACTAAGGAATATGTTAATGAGTGAGTCACTCTTGTGAGCACCTGGGTGTCAGTTGCCTGGTGTCCCTCTGAGAGTCTGGGCACCACACACTTCAGCATTGCCCCAGCAAGAGGCCGGAGCTGGACATTTCTCTATCAATTCCCATCCCATTGGTTGAGGGTCACTCTTGGGGATCTTAACTTCCTGGCACTTCTGTCCTGCCCTGCATACCTGGACTGTCCAGGGCATACGTCTGTAGCCAGAAAAAGCCCTCAAATAGAGAGAAGTAGGTCCTTGATGATACGATGTGCATGGGAACTCCCACTGAAGCTGCAGGTGACCTCTAGGTTGGACCAGGGGATGTGGGTGGGCAGTGAGGTATTTACTACAGACGTGTTGCAGGATGCTGGGCAACAGAAGGAAGTTGGTCAGCTGGATGCCAATGGATGTCTCAGAATGATTCGAGAGCGACTTTTCTGGAAAAGCCAGTTGCAGAAGATCAAATGTTTTCCTGACTGGTATAATTTAATTGTATGGTCAGTGTTTGCTATGGATAATTTGGTTTTTCTTTGACCTCGACTGTCTCACTGGCTTTCTATCTGCACTGGAAAATGTTATTTTCTAACTCTTTCAAATATAATAAGCCAAACCTGGCTTCCATCAAGAGCTGGCAGCCTTGCCATTTTCAGGAGGTGCTGACGGCTGTGGTATCCAACCAGCAAAAAGGCAGTGGTGTTTGTATTTTCCATTTTGCCCTTTAAAAGAACATTTCAGCTAAAGCAAAAAGCTTTTTCTTTCACCCTGAGTTTTTAAATAGAAATCTTGATGGCATTAAGTCATTTTAATTCTGAGCACCAGCTTCTAAAGTTCAGTGACTACAAAGCTCTGTTCTGGTGTGGAACACAGTGGACACCAAGGCGAGAGATTCTAATCAGCAGGAGCACCAGAATAAAAATATAGGCAAAAGACAAGTTTATTACAAAGGGTCATGGACAGTGTTTGTCTGTGGGCAATGTGGGCTGAGGAAGGTTATTTCTGCACTGAAAATTTTAAATCATTCACATTTTGCAATAATTTAACCAACTTATATGGTTTCCCAACTGGTGATGTGTTCTTTCACATTTAAAATGCTCAGTAAAGAAAGAACAAGGAAATTTACCCTGTCCTGAAATGGAAAGATCTCCGAGATATAGTGTTAAGTGACAAAAGCAATATGTACAATAATGTTAATGCTAACTATTGTATGAGAAAAAAGATAAAAAGATTATATGGTCACATTTATTTGTATTTACATGAAAATCTAATAAAATTTCTCTAGGTATGAGTAAGGAGGGAAGAAACAAATGGTCAGATTTTTCAGTTTACAACTTTTATATATTTCTATTTTTTTAAAAGATTGGCAGCTGAGCTAACAACTGTTGCCAATCTTCTTCTTCTTTTTTGTTCCTGCTATTTCTCCCCAAATACCCCCAGTACATAGTTGTATAATTTAGTTGTGGGTCCTTTTAGTTGTGGCATGTGGGATGCCGCCTCAGCATGGCCTGATGAAGGGTGCCATGTCTGCGCCCAGGATACAAACTGGGGAAACCCTGGGCCGCTGAAGTGGAGCGTGCGGACTTAACCACTCGGCCATGGGGCTGGCCCTTTTATATTGTTTTGATTTTAAAATCATGTTAATGCATTTCCTGCTCAAATAAAGAAATAAATAACAAATTGCCCAGTGAAGAACATAATCATTGAAGAACAAGCCTCTGTTCTATGATCATTTTTACAACCTTTGAAGGTGGCTTCAGATGGAAAATGTCTTCCACAAAATTCAAATATCTACACATAGTGAATCCTTTGCAAACATTTAGGGCTCGAGTATTGTTTATTTGATCATGAAAATTTTTTACATCTATGCTGCTATTTACCATCCAGGCAGCAGGTGGAAGTGTTTCTCTGTTTTTCTTTGTGTCTTCCCCCACCTCCCCAACTTCATATGCAAAACCAACCAAGAATTCTCTAATTCAAAAATGCATCACATCTTCTAGATTCATGTTACTCTCTCATCCCAAAAATCTTTTGGGGACTTAAAGCTTCCAGCAGGCTGCTTAATGATTATTCAAAAGGGGCTGATTATTGGGTTTGCTGGTGTAAAGTCTTTCTTCCCTCTTCTCTCTGCTCTCTTCTTATCATTCCACTCAGCTTGCATACATCACTCTCTATAATCAAGTCATAGAAAAAAACCCCTTAAATTATGAAAATTCTCAGCCCTTTCTTTCTTTCTCTCTCTCTCCCTTTTTTACTTTGCAGATGAAACTCAGGCTTTGGAAAGCAAAACAAACAATCAAACAAATAAAGAGAGAGCGGATTATGGACCTCCATCAATGGTGCCAAAGGAAAAAAAAAGCTAACAGGGGTGAGTGAGTGTTGGGTGAGTGTTTGTCTGTGTGCCTGACTGGCACAGTACCTGCCGTAGCTCCTTACATCTTTACAACACCACGGAGAAGTGTGTGTCATTAGAGCCATTTTGCAAAGGAGGAGATGAAAACTCAGAGGAGAGGAGCAACTTGCAACTTGCAACTTGTTTATGTTGCTGCAAAATGATGAAATTGGAATTGGAAGCCAGACTGCATTCAAAGCTGAAACATTTCAATATTTTTTCCTTATACCATACTAAACAAGCGGAAGGCAGTGCCTCCCCTGCGGCTCTCTTTCTTTCCTCCTCACCTCCTGGTCTTTGTACCTGCTCTCTCACAAGTGTGCACCACCCTCTGCCCACTCCACACAGCGTCTATATAGAGAAGGAAGGAAGGAAGGGAAGCTGCCCCAAGAAGTCCCCAATGTTCAGTGGACGCTGGTCTTTGTTGTACATGGGCAGCGATTCCTTTAGAAAAGGCAGCAACATTGAACTGGGCAAGGTTGGAGATTCCGCGAGCAGTGGACTTGGGGAGGTGCCAGGAAAAGCGCAGAGCTGTTTCCAAATTGTTTTGGAGGATTTTGTGCTTGTGTGTTTTTCTGAGTGTTCCTGTTTCTCATCCTGGCTTTCTGGCAATGCCTGCAGGTGAAGGTGCTGGTAAAGATGCAGAAAAGGACACTTTGGAGCATTGGATGGACAAAGGACAGTAGGGAAGATGTTTTACCCACAGTGAAGTACACGGGAATGACCTCGGGTCGCATGCAGCCTCTGTATTAAATAACATCAACACATATTGGGAGAGAGTTGTGGCCCTTTTCAATGCTGAGTAGAGCAAGGAGAAAATCTCCTGTGGTGCAAGCATGATTTTAACACCTTTTAACACTTGCTCTGCTGCCATTTCAACAGAGAGGGGCAAGCAGCAGGCAGGGGTCCTTGGGGCGTCAATAGCACCCAGCTAGAATTTTCTTAGGTTGTTTTGTTTTCTTTTAGTTATATTTCTATCTTTGGCACGTGATTTTGGTTTTCTGCTTAAGGTAGTGATAAGGGGTCCCTTTTAAATACATGCGTTTAAGTAAAGAAAGTCAACTTAAAGAAGAATAGTTGAGTAAATAATAAGATTGGTGGTATGTAGATGTGGCAAAAATGATGAAATGGCACTAAAATGATTGAAATTTGGGGATGTTGTAGTGGATTATTTCTAAATGTGTCTCCCATCTCAGACAATTTATGACTTTAATGCCATCATTTGAGAATCATGGGAAAATTAGAATTGTGCAATTTTAGAACAGAAAGGGATTATCTAGTCCAACCTCCTCATTTCACAGTTGATGAAGTGGAGGTTTAAAGGGACGTGACTGGCCCAAGGTCACAAAGGGTTCTGTGGTTAATAATCTGTGTGTGTCTGCCTGCGTGTGTGTGTGTGTGTGTGTGTGTATGGACTGGTGGGGGGAAGTTGGAATGGTGTTAGAGGAGGGCCAGATAATAGCCTAGATATGGAGCTGCTTTAAATAATTTGGGTTGTCTTGATACCATGGAAGGAAAGAGGGAAGAGGAGGGGGAGACAATCTTTGAACAAAATGAAAACCCCTAAACCAGAAGTGTTGAAAAATCCTTAAAATCTAAGTTTCTACTGCTCGCTGCAGCAGCGAGGACAAGAGCTGGCTTGTTTCCCCCAATAATCGCAGCAGTAGCTTTTTGCTGCGGAATGTGGCGTTAAATACAATAGGTCAGCACTGAGCTTGAACAAAATGTGATGACTGATTAGGAAATGAATGGTAAGTCATGGACGGCAAGTCCTGATTGTGGTGATGCTTATCAACACCTCCCCTCCCCACCGGAACAAACAAAGCTGCAAAGCTGCAGTAGCAGCTGACAAAACTGAATCCAGATGTCCTTGTCCTGAGGACAATTTAATTCTGGCTATGACAGTCATCTGTGAGGAAATCAGGTGTCTCAGGGAGAAAAGACTCAAGTGGGCTTCAGGTAATTCAGGACCTGCTCTGGGGGAGGCCATGGCCCCCTGCCTCCTTCTCATTGTGAGGTCAGCTCTGAGTCTTGCTTTCCTATGGATATACTGAGATGATAAAAGTGAGATGTAGTCCAGGATTAAAGGCAGCTCCCCCTTGTGGATGGGGCTGGGAGATCAGTCCGTGGTCCTGAGCAGCAATTTATACATTGATGGAATGAATGACCACAAGGCTGGGTATATCAATCAATGGACCTTGCATGGTGCTTGGCATACAGCGACTCACTGCTCACTCATACTCCTGTGTGGACAAGCCACTCAGTTTTTTCAGTGTCACTATTTCTTCATGCCTAATATTCAGATAAGAAATTGTGTCCTACAAATATGTTATCGAGATATGATGTGAGAGATGAGGCTAGTGAGTGTGGTGGTTGCCTTTTCATTCATTCACTCATTAAATCATTCATTCATTCAACCAGCTGATATTTATTAATCACATAGTGGAGAGATAACCTAGGCCCCCTCCTCCCAGAGGTTAAGATCTAGTGAGGAAGTCAGATAACAACTATGTAAATAAATAGATAACCAAGATAATGCTTTCCAAATATCATTTGTGCTAGAATTAGGTAGTGATTATAACAACAGTAACAATAATAATATTGATAAAAGCTAACATTTATAAAATACTTACTATGTGCCACACCTGTTGTAAACATTCACCCACATGATGCATTTAACTCTTCCCACCACTCTAAAAGAGGTATAATTATTCTCTTTCACTTTATTAAGAGAAATTGAGGTACAGAACTAGAAAATAATGGGGAGAGGTGGGATATTTTAGACAGCATGGTCAAGAAAGACTTCACGGGAAGTGATAGTTAAGCAGGGGCCAAAAATGTACATTTCCTGTATATCTCTAAAATCCAGGGGCTGGCCCCGTGGCCGAGTGGTTAAGTTCGCGTGCTCCGCTGCAGGCGGCCCAGTGTTTCATTGGTTCGAATCCTGAGTGCGGACATGGCATTGCTCATCAAACCATGCTGAGACAGCGTCCCACATGCCACGACTAGAAGGACCCACAACAAAGAATATACAACTATGTACCAGGGGGCTTTGGGGAATAAAAGGAAAAAAATAAAATCTTAAAAATAAATAAATAAATAAATAAAATCCACAATTGTCTTTCTATTTACCTCCTACCTCCCATTGTTTGGTGAAGGCTACCATGCCACTCACTGTCACTGCAACTACTTCTAACTAGATTGGCCCTCCTTACAGCCACAGTGGAGTGACAGTGAGTGGAGGGGATAGACAGATTAGCTAAATGCATTTACTTACTTACCTCTCTGTTGACTTTTCTAGGGTGTGGTTTATGGTGCCCTCTGAATTTGAATGATATAAGGTTGAGAGCTCTGGGATAATACAGCATGGAGTAACAGCTTGCCACCCTGCCCTTATCCATAGGGAGGCTGGATATATTTCTCCTCTTCCCTTAGACATTAAGTCATGGCCATTTACTGAGACTGGAGGCAGAAAACCCAGTGGTGGGGGCAATAGTCAGAGCAATCTCATCCACACACACAGTACAATAAATTTCTCAGACCTTCACCTCCAAGATCCCACCCGGGTTTCCCAACGACCTTGTAGGACATAGATTGTTATGCATGTTTGGAAGATCAGAGACATGAAGGCTGACATGCTTCAGAAGTTTAGCCAAGGTCATACAGCTGCTGGTGGGGGACAAAACTTGAACTTAGTGATAAATGAAAAATCTGTTAATCCATATGACCATAGGCTATAGGAATAATGTCTTTCTTAACAAGAACAACAACAACAACAATCATTTATTGTTACAAATGCTTACCCTGTGATGAATTCTAAATCAAGAGCTTTAGATACATTAACTTATTTCATCCTGTTGTGTATACCGTAGGGAAAGCATTTGGCAGAGTTTCTAGCACGTGGTAAGAACTGTAATTGATGTTATATGATCCTATTTTTGGGTAAGGGAAACTGAGGCCAGGAAAAATTAAGTAACATGTTCCAAGTCACCCTGTTAACAAACAATGGGGCTAAGATTTAACTGCAAGCTGTGCGGTTATGGGGTCTGTCTCTTATCGATGATGTACATTTCCTACTTGCCTCACTGTTGGGCCCCCAGTGTCTCAGTGGATATTGTGGGCAGAGCACACTGAATTTTAGACTTTTGCAACTTGTCTCTGGCAACACTTAGAGTTTCTTAAGTTTTTCATTTGAATTACTGTTCAAAGCTGTATCAGCCTTGGGCCTTCAGCCCTGCGGAGATGATTGGGGCTGTGGCCCCCTGGTTTCCCTCTGGAACCCATTCATTTTCCCTTCACTCAAGAGAGGCTGAGAATCTGAGGTACTGGATTTTCCTCATTGTGCCTGAAAGATACATGTTTCTTGGAGAGGTTGGTAGAATTCCATCCCTGTGAAGGCATTTTGATTTGGACTTCAAGTTGTAAGGGTTTCCTGTTTTGTGTTTTGCCAAATTTTCAAACATAAAGCTATTTCTGAAGCAGACAATGTCTTGGCACTCCCCCATCTCTACTCCAGGCTGCAGTTTTATATTCACTTTGCTTCATTCCAAAAAGAATTTGTCTGTGGGGTCCTGTGCTCAGCAACACAGAGAAGACAAATTGAGGGGGATCCAGACTCTCTTTCCAGGTCTTAAGATGTGGCAGAGAAAAGGTGGATGATCCCCAGTGGAAGCTTTCATTAGGAAGGCAGAATTTCAGCCAAGCTTTGAAAGACATTTGGATTTTGGTAGAGGAGGAATGTAAGAACAACAAACCATACATCTGATAAGGGGTTAATGTACAAAATATATAAGGAACTCAAAAACTCAATAGCAAAAAACCAAATAGCCTGATTTAAAAATGGATATAAAGTCTGAATAGACATTTCTCCAAAGAAGACATACAAATGGCCAACATGTATATGAAAAGGTGGTTTTTTTTTTTTTAAGGATTTTATTTTTTTCCTTTTTCTCCCAGAAGCCCCCTGGTACATAGTTGTATATTCTTCATTGTGGGTCCTTCTAGTTGTGGCATGTGGGACGCTGCCTCAGCGTGGTTTGATGAGCAGTGCCATGTCCGCGCCCAGGATTCGAACCAACGAAACACTGGGCCGCCTGCAGCGGAGCTCGTGAACTTAACCACTCGGCCGCGGGGCCAGCCCCTGAAAACGTGGTTTTGACCTAACTAGTCATCAGGGAAATGCAAATCAAAACTGCAGTGGGATATCACCTCACACCTATTACGATGGCCATTATCAAAAATTGAAAAGATCATAAATTCTGGTGAGGGTGTGGAGAAATTGGGACTCTTGTACACTGTTGGTGGAAATGTAAACTGGTATAACCACTATGGAAAACAATATGCAGTTTTCTCAAAAAATTAAAGATAGAGTTACCATATAATCCAACAACCTCACTTCTAGGTATAGATCATGAAATCAGTATATCGAGGAGATCTCTGCACCTCTATGTTCATTGAAGCATTATTTACAACAGCTAAGATATGGAAACAATCTAAGTGTCTGTTGATGCACGAATGAAGAAAGAAAATGTGGTACATATATGCAATAGAATATTATTCAGCTTAAAAAAGAGGAAAATATCGCCATTAGTGACAATAGAGATGAATCTGGAGGACATTATGCTAAGTGAAATAAGCCAGATGCAGAAAGATGAATTCTACATGATCTCGCTGATACGTGGAACCTAAAATGTCAAACTTACAGAAGCAGAAGAGTTTAAGGGTGGTTGCCAGGGCCTGGGGGGCGGGGAAATTGGGGAGATGTTGGCCAAAGGGTGTAAAGTTTCAGTTATGCAGGATGAATAAGTTCTGGAGACCTAATGAACAGTGTAGTGACTACAGTTAATAATACTGTACGGTATATATGAAATTTGCTAAGAGAGTAGATCTTAAGTATTCTCACCACACACACAAAAATGATAACTAGGTGAGGTGATGGATATGTTAATTAGCTTGATTGTGGTAGTCATTTCACAATGTATACATATATCAAAACATCTCACTGCACACTTTAAATCTATACAATTTTTATTTGTCAATTTTACCTCAATAAAACTGTAAAAAAACCAACAAATACCATAGACTGAGTGGCTTAAACAACAGAAATTTATTTTTTCACAGTCCTGGAGGCTGGACATCCAAGATCAAGGTGTAG